AATCCCCCCTGAGTCCCCCCCGTTTTGAGGGGGGTGTGTCCCCCCCCTCAAACACCCCCATTTGTGGGGGTGGGACCCCCGGGTGGGACCCCCCCCGAGCGATCCATGGAGAGGTATTTGTGGGAATAACGGGGCTCCCCCGGGAACGTCCCAACGTGCCCTGGGGGGGTCCTGCCCTGCCCTGGGGGTTCCCGCCCTGCCCGGGGGAACACCCGAGCCCCCCCCCGCAATTCCTGAGCTTTTCCTGCTCCGTCCCCGGGATCGTTCCCCCCCCCCCGTTTCCCTCCCGTCCTCCTGCCCCCATTTTTTGGGAGATGGGATTTTGGGCGGGGGGGGAGGCTCATAGGAGGGTCTGGGGGTTTGGGGGAGCCCCTGTTGCCCCCCCTGGACGCTCCTGCCCGGGGGGGCTCCGGGGCTGCTTTTCCCGGGCAGAGTTTTCCCCTCCAGCCCGGGGAAATTCCAGCCCGGGAATGCCGGAGTCTCCTCCCTGTCCCTGGCACGGGACGCTGGGATTTGACCCCCCCTTCCCCCCTTTACTGATCCCTCCGGGCAGGGGGGATTCCAGAGAGGCTCTGGAATCCACCGGGATGGGCAGCACGTGGCTCCGGGTGGGATCAGCCCCCCCCATCCCGGTGCTCCCGACCCTGTTCCCGCTGGGACCCTCCCGCTGTGCCGACCCCCAAATTATTCCATGTCCGTTCCAGCCCTTGCCCGGAGCTCCCGGGGGGATTCCCGGAGGAGGCTCCTGGGAAAGCTCCGGGGAATTCCCGGAGGAAGCTCCTGGGAAAGCTCCTGAGGCGAAACCTCTTTGCCGTGGGACCCTCTGGATCCCGGGAGGGGCCGGGGGTGTCCCGGTGTCCCGCCGGGAAGGCCGAGCCACGTCCCGGCAGAGCCAGGAAAAGGGATTTTTAGCCTCGTCTTGGGCTTTTGCTTCCAAGGACTCCGGGAAACCTGAGCCCAGGGAGCCCCGGGGAAGGTGCCAGCGGCTCCCGATCCCGGGGAACGGCGATCCCAAGGGAACAGCGATCCCAAGGGAACGGCGGGGTTATCCCGGGGCACGGGACGGGACGGGAGCGGGGAGGGAGCTCTGGGCTCCCTGTGGATCAGCTCCAGTTCCAACCCCGTCGGAGGAACCGGGAGCGAGGCCGGAGCTCCGTCCTGTCCGTCTGTCTGTCTGTCCCGGAGCCTCTCCCCCCTCCCCGGCTCCCCTGGAATGGTTTCCCAGCCCTCCCGGGGTGATTTACGGCGCGGTGCCCCCGGGGTTGGATCCCAGACAAAGGCACGGGGAGAAAACATCCCCCCGGGTTGGCTGGGAATCCGAACTTCCCTGGAGCCGCAGGATGCTGGGAGCGTGCCGAAAGTGAGGAATTTCGTGTCGTTCCCCGTTTTGGGATGGTTTCTCCGGGAAGGGCCGATGTCCGGCCAGAGCTGCTCCGGCGGGGAGGAGCTTCTCCAAACAGGGAGTATTAGGGAAAAATAACATCCCTGCTCCCATGGGAAGCGGGGCCTGGAGTCCCCGCCCGCAGCTGGGCCCCGTGGCCACCCCCGGGCTGGGATTTGTCTGGAATTTCATTCCCTGCTTTAGCCACAAAAAGGGTGGAATTCGCAGCAGTGTTTGCCTGGTTCCAGGAAAAAGGCCCTGGGAATGCGGGGGATTTGTGGGAGAGGATCCCAGCCCCTAACCAGGGTCAGGGAGGGGTGGGCTTGGATTGGGTGATCCTGGAGATCTTTCCCAGCCCAAATAATTCTGGGATTCCTCGTCAGGCCTGTCCTGGGGTTTGAGGCTCCGTGGGGAGGCTGAGCCGTGGGACAGACCGGGAATGGTCTGGGGGGCTCTGCCCCATCCCTAAAACAGCAACCTCGGAATTCCCCAGGGCGCCTTTCCTGGGAATGTCAGAGGGGACCGTCCCCCTGGATCCACTGTTCCATTTTATTTAGTGAAGTCCCTCAAATTATGGGAACAATGGGAGCTGTCTGACCGTGGATAAAACCTCTCCCAGCACTTTGTTTTCCCTTTTCCCTGCTCTGGCGGAGCCGCTTCCTTGGCATTTCTCTGGGAATGCTGGTGGGATGGGGCTTTCCATGGGCTCCGGAACATTTCCACTGACACAACCTTTGGGGTTTTGGAGCAGCAAAGGTGGAAAAAACGTCCTCAACGTCGGAAAATAAACTGCAGCTGAACGGAAGCGGGGCTTGGGAAGGGAAACAGGGAATTTCAGGTGGTTACTGGTTCCCACCCGAGGGGGCTCGGAGGTGTTTGTCCCAAAAACCTCTCCCTGGTGCTTCCAGAGCCGGGATGAGCTGCCTGGCAGCGGATCAGCGCAGAGACAGGAGCCAGAGCTCGGCTCTGACAGGGCCAGGGAGGTGTCTGGGAGGTGTTCCGGGAGGAATTCCAGCGCTCCCGAGGGGTCTCCCTGGCTCGGAGGGTCCGACCTGCCCCGGGCTGTCCCGGGCAGGAATCCCTGCAACAGAGGGACGGCTCAGACCGGGGGGATTTGCTGTTCCAGGCCGCTTCCGTGTGAGTTGGGGGGAGCTGAGCAGTTCCCTCCGTGGGGCTGGGGTTGGGATCCCACCCGGGTCTGGAGGGTTCCCTGCTGGGGTGGGACTGGGGGGTCTGCAGGGGTCTGGAGGTGGGAGGTGTCCCCAGGCTCAGCCTTTGGGGTCATTTCGTGGTGCTTTGGGTACAATGGGAACAATAAAGGGGGGTCCAGGTGGGAATCCATGGATTTAAGAGGCTTTTCCCAGTTCTAGGACGGTCACGGCTGTAATGGGGGGATTTAAGTGGGGCTGCTCTGGAGGACTTTTCTGTTTCCTTGAGTTGTTGCCACCTGGGGAAAAGTCCTGATTTCCGTGGGAAGGAGAGTGCTGCTCTAATTGTGTCGCGCTCCCGCCTCCAATTCCCGGGGCAATCCCACCTGGAAGGCGGGAGGGAGCTTTGGAGCCGGGCCGTGCGTGTCCCCGAGCGGGTCAGAGCCCCCGGGACAGGGTGGGTTGGTGCTCCAGGGGGTTTGGGGAGGGAGCTCCCAGCCCGGGCCGCATCCTTGGAAGCGGCCCCGTTATCCCAGGGATGTGGGGGGGGTTTGTCCGTCCGTCTGCGCAGGTTTTGGGGCCGCTCGTCCGGATCCAGAGGGCTCGGAGAACTGGCAGGGCCCTTTCCCAGCCCAGGTTGGGTTTTGCCACAGGGCTGGGGAGAACTTTGGGAATTTGCAGCTTTTAATCCCAATTCCTGCTCGGGAGGCCTCAGACAAAATTAAGGAAAACAACTGTGGAAATCAGAGCTCCTGATGTTTTTTTTCTGGGTTCTCTTAAAATAACAAGGAGTGAGGAATCCACCTCTCCCTGCCCATTGTCCCACTGGCACTGGTGGGGTGGCACGAGCAGGAATTACAGAACCAGCTCCTCCGATTGATTTCTCTCAAATTACTCACCCAGTAATTAATTCCTGGCTCTCGCTCCTGGTTGTCCATGGACTGGGGTCCTGCCTGTTCCCTGGTATCCCTGGGAAGCGGAGGGAGCGGTGCCAGCACTTCCCGTGCCGTGTTCGCCCCTCACACACACAATTGGCCTTTATTTTTTTTTTTTTTTGTTAAAAATCCCTGTTTTCGGGGATTTCTGTGGAGCCCAGGAGGGAAAAGCCTTTCCAAATGAAATCCCTCTTTATTCCGGCGCCGCCGTTCCCGTTGTGCCGAGCCCACGGATCCCCCGGCGCGGCTCAAAAGCCAAATTACGGCTTCCATGGAAATAAAGCTGCAGGATGCGCTTTCAGACCACAATTCCTGCACAACCCCGCGCTGGGGAGGGAGATTCCAGCCCAAATTGTTGTCGGCTCGTGGAGGGAAGGGATGCTGTGGGGCGGGAAGGGGAATTCCGGAGGGCTCGGCTCGTTTTGTGCTGCCTGGAATTGTCTCCGGCTCTGGGATCGTCCTTGACCCTGGGACAGTCCTCAGCCCTGGGATTGTCCTGGGCCTTGGGATTGTCCTCGGTCCCGGGATTGTCCTGGGCCTTGGGATTGTCCTCGGTCCCGGGATTGTCCTCAGTCCCGGGAATGTCCTCAGCCCTGGAATTGTCCTGGGCCTTGGGATTGTCCTCAGTCCCAGGATTGTCCTCAGCTCCAGGAATGTCCTCAGCCCCGGGATTGTCCTGGGCCTTGGGATTGTCCTCAGCCCTGGGAATGTCCTTAGTCCCAGGATTGTCCTCAGCCTGGGAATGTCCTCAGCCCAGGAATGTCCTCAGTCCTGGGATTGTCCTGGGTCTTGGGATTGTCCTCAGTCCCAGGAATGTCCTCAGCCCCGGGAATGTCCTCAGGCCCAGGATTGTCCTTAGCCCAGGAATGTCCTCAGCCCCAGGAAAGTCCTCAGCCCAGGAATGTCCTCAGTCCCAGGAATGTCCTCAGTCCCAGGAATTGTCCTGGGCCTTGGGATTGTCCTTAGCCCAGGAATGTCCTCAGCCCCGGGATTGTCCCCAGCCCCAGGAAAGTCCTCAGCCCAGGAATGTCCTCAGTCCCAGGAATGTCCTCAGTCCCAGGAATTGTCCTGGGCCTTGGGATTGTCCTTAGCCCAGGAATGTCCTCAGCCCCGGGATTGTCCCCAGCCCCAGAGTGTCCCCTCCAGTGGGTGACACAGATGCCAGGGTGGGAACAGCGCCAGCGTTGCGACACCGGCCCCTGTTGTCCTTATTTTGTGCAGCCCCTATAACTAATTAACTAATTAACTAATCCCTCACTAACTAGAACTGCCTCGAGTTCCCGTGGTGCCCGTGGCACTTGAGGACACGAGGCACCTCTTTAGCTGTGGATCCGGAGCAGCTCTGGGAATGTGCATCCCAGACTCCCTGGATTTGGCCCATCCAGGAGCAGTTTAATGTTAAAATTACGGTTTGGGAAGGGAAAGATGGATTTGTGTTGGCTCAGGAAGCTCCGTGGGATGGAGGGACCCCCTGAGGGGGCTGCTGCAGGTCAGCTTTCCTTATCAGGGAGACAATTAATCTCCCAAATTGTCCCTGTTTAATTGTTCTCCACAGCAAATGCTCCGTTCCTGACCCAGCCAACAGCCAATTAGAGCAACCGCTCACAGCCCAGCTCCTGTCTCCAAAACAGGGCTCATTTGGGGTTTTAGCAGCTGGGGATCGATCCATAAAAGCCATTTGAGCATCTAAAACATTGGGTGTCTCTGTGGGGTGCCAGGAAACCAGGACATGGCAGATTTTCCTTGGATTTCAGGGTGGATTTTGGGTTGTCTGTTGTGAGGCCGCCTGAGGGGTGTTGGTGTTCTCTCCTTGCCCAAAATCCTGATTCCTTTTGTGGATAAAATGAAGAGGAGACACCCGAGCAGCTTCCAGAGGCTGATCCTGACTGGGCTCTGCTTTCTCTTGCAGCCAAAGCCCTCAAAGATGGATATAGAAGACTGTAACGGGCGAGCCTACATTCCTGGTAGGTCCAGGCTTGATTTTTCCGGGCTGGTTTGGTTGGGTTTGGATGTTCAGCTCCCTCCTCCTGCCCTGTGCTCCGGGGCTTTGCCCCAGCCCCTTCCATCACACACTGAGGAGCAGCGTTGGGAGCAGTGTTGGGAACACCAGTTTCATTACGTGTCTGAGAAGGGTTAATTCCCACAGGGTGATAAAATTCCCAGCTCCGAGGTGGAGCCTGGGAAGTTCTCACTGGATTTTGTGTCCTTGTGCCTTCACCTGGTGGGTGCTGGTGGGGGACATTCCCAGGTTTTGTGTTAAACTGAAAGGAAAACAAGGTCTTTGTGCTGGGGGTCACAGCCCAGCTCCAGAGGGGATCCCAGAGGATCCAGGGGATTTAGATAGTCCTGCAGAAACCTGGGATGGGCAGTGGGTGAAAGCTGGTGGGGTGGGATTTGTCCTTATCTCCAGGGAACTGCTGTTTGCAGAGGGAGAACTCCTCAGTTTGTCCATCTTTGCTCAGGATTAGGGTAAGAGCTGGTGGAGATTTACAGGTGGCACAGCCAGAGGAAACTTTCCCAGTGACTAAATCCGTCCCTGGAGAGGCAGGAATCCGTGTGGGATGAACGGCACAGGGGGGATGGAGCTCTGGAGGGGTTGGGAGGAGGATGGAGACCTTTTCTCCCTCAGCACAGTCTGAATCCTTCCTGGATTCCAGCTTTTGGGGCTGAGGTTTGAGCAGCTCCTGGAGTTGGGAGGGAAGGGGAACGGTTCAAGTTCCTGTTTGTCAGGAGTGAAGGACCAAAAAATCTGGAAACTCCGTGAGTGAGAAATATTCCGTCTCCTTGGATCCTTCACAGGAAACCAAGGCAGTTCTGAACCAGCTCTGGTAGAGATGGAGTTCTCACAGAGGGGGTGGGAGCGAGGGGGAGGTGGGGAAGGGGCCTCTCCGTGCTCCTCAGGCTCTAAATGCTGTGGATGCTCATCCCAAAAAAATGGCCTTTGGACTGTGCCGATAACGGCTTTGCTGCACTTTGTGTCATTCCTGCCTGTGGGAGCTGAGCCCCTCGGCCCATCCCGGGTCCATCCTGCTCCATCTGAGCCCCTCGGCCCATCCCGGGTCCATCCTGGGTCCATCCCGGGTCCATCCTGCTCCAGGGATCAGGTCTCTGTTCCCAGCTGAGGACCCCCCATGTGGGCAGGATGGGATCAGGTCCCTGTCCCATCACAATTTCCTGAGGAATTTTGCCCTCCCTCGCTCTGTCCTCTCCCATCAGAGGCTGTTGGAAGGCGAGGGATGTTTCCAGGGCGTCCCTCCCAGCTCCACTCCCCAGAACAGCCCAGATCCCCCCCGTCCCCCCCCTTTTTTGGGTGCTGTCAGCTGAGGGCAGGGTAACCTGTCCCAGCTCCGTGGATAACCAGGGTAACTGGGCTCCTCCAGGCTCCAGAGCCGCCTCCTTCCTGACATTCAGGTTTCCATTTTTCTTTTTTTAGAACTGCTGAAACGTGACCCCAAAATTTCCTGAAATCCCAAGTCTGAGCAGTTTTCCGAGAGGGGAAATTGCTGAGGGACCACGGGAACGGGGCTGCTCCCAGGGGTGGGATTGCAGCCCCTGCTCCCAGGGGTGGGATTCCAGCCTGCCCACATTCCCAGGGCTCCGAGCCATCCCCGGGGGTTCTGGTGCCAGACCCACTGCTGCACAGAGGGAAAAATCCCGTCCCTGCGTGTGTGGGATTTTCCAGAGGGGGCTCCTGGCAGGGGTCCCTGACAGTGATCCTGCCCTGGGAAGCTCCGCCCTGGCCTGATCCTGGTTTTGGGGCAGGCTGGGCACCAAGGATCAGCTCAGTGGTGTTTCCAGTCGGGAGGAGCCTGGGGATCCTTTGGGATCGGCAGGATCCTTAGGGATCCGGAGGATGAAGCTGGCTGGCAGAGGAGCTGAGCTCAGAGCCGGCTTTGTGCTTGCAGGGACTGAGGAGAAATTCCCTTTTTTAACTCCTTAATGTTTAATTCCATTGGAATCTGGAGGTTTTAACCTTTCTCCAGAGCTGGGATCAGGGAGGAAAGCACGGGAGGTCCTTCCTGCTCTCAGCATCCCCTGGATGCTTTTCCGGCAAGCCCAAATCTCCTCCTCAGGGACAAACCCGGGGCCAGGAGGGGCTTTGTTTGTGGGGTGGGGAGTTCACGCCGCGGGAAGCTCCTCAAAAATTCCTCCCAGCTGCAGCAGGAAGCCGTTCCTGGACAAGGTGTGTGTGGGGAAGGAGTGAGGGGACACTCTTTGAGCTCTGGCTCCACACCAGCCCCTTTGGCTCCTTCCCTGGAGCCGCGGATCGAGGGGCGATGCCGGAGGGTCGGAGCCCATCCTGGGGGGGAAACATTTCTCCCTCTGCCCATCCCAGTGCTGGGGATCCCGTGCCTGGTGGCTGAGCCCCCTCATGCATCCCCTGCCCAGCTCCCCGTGCCCTCCCCTCTGCCCCCCTCTCCCCGTGCCCTCCTCAGCCCCGGTTCCCGCTCGCCCGGTGCCTCCTGACTGTAAAATGACGGACGTTTCCCTCCCTTCCAGGAATCTGCTCTTCCTGGAAGGTGAGTGGCTGCGTGCGCCCTGCCAGCGACGCAGACATGCACACGCAGCCCGGAATCCAGCGCTGTTTCCAAGGAGTTGGATGTGATAACACTCCAGGGTATCTCCAGCAAGGTACAATAAACGCGACTCAAACGGGAGCGAGGGGCGGGAGGAGCCGCAAATAACTCGGGCACGGCTCCGCTCGCTCCGCCTGTGTGGAGAGGGGATGCAGGGGCTGTGCTGGGCTCCGGGGGGCTCAGGGCTGCTGGGGTTCCCTGTGCCAGCAGGAGGAGGGGGGGGGAAAAAGGACCTGACCCCCCTGAGTGCGGATAGGAGCGAGGTGGGCTCAGGACACGGCTCTGAGACCCCGCAAGAGGGTCCGTCCTGCCCCGCTCAGAGGGGTCTTGGCCCCAGGACGTGCCCTGAGCTGGCTTTGGAGAGGCGTTTAGGGGTGTCTGGAATCCCCCGTGCCAGCAGAGGAGATGGGGAAAGGCCTCCCCTGAGTGCAGGCTCAGGACACAGCACCGGGACCCTCCGAGAGGGTTGGTCTCACCCCCACACAGGGATTTGGGCTCAGGATGTGTCTCCAGAGTAGCCAGAGACCCCGAGCACTCCAGGAAGGGATTTAGGGGTGCTGGAATGCAGGAACTCATCGGCTCCAGGAAGGGAATTAGAGGTGCTGGAATGCAGGGACTCATTCCCTCTGGGCATCATCGGAGGCTCGGAGTCACTGGCAGCAGCTCTCCAGCCTCTCTGGAGCGCGGGGAGGGGAGAGGGAAGGGCGCTCCAAGTCTCTCCCACTGTCATCCCGGGAGGGAAGGAACCCTTAAATCCCGCCCCTGGGAGCCGAGGCCAGGCTGGGTGTCCCAGGCCCTCCAGGGGCACTTCCCAGGAGCGATTCCCATGCTCGGCGATGAGCTCAGCCTCCCAACAGCCACCAGACAATGGGACAAACCGGGCTCGGGGAACAGGGAGAGGAGAGTTTTCCAGCTGCCAGTGTTTAGAAATAACATTCCCAGCTGTGCTGGGGGAGCTGCTGCACTTTCCATCATGAATCTCCGCCGTTCCCGCAGCATGGCCTGGCTCCGGGGCTGCCGGGGGGGCTCCAGGGATTGCTGGGATCGCTGGAACAGGCACTTCCCGAAGGGGAAAATCCGAGGGGATCCATGGACAGCTGTGTCAGGGAATTCATGTGCTGGTGTGAGCGGGGAAGGGCCCGTGTCCAAGTGGGGAGGGATTGGATTCCCAGGGATGTGAGTGCCTGCCTGGGAATTGTGCTGGAGCGGGATCCCAGTGCCTGGGAAGGGACAGGTCCTGGGGGTTGGTGCTCGGGCTGGGGGTGGTCTGGTCCCCCCTCGGATGGACACCTCGGCACTGCCGTCGGCTCCGGGCTGTGGGGTTTGGGAAGCTCCCGGCTGGAGGGGCTGGAATCCAAAATGCACCCAGCCTAATCCCATGGGAGCAAATCCCTGCCCTCCAGCCCCTTCCCAGAGCCGAGGGGCCGGGCAGGGGGGATTCCCACCGGCTCACTCGTGTCTCCCTCCTCCCAAAGGCAGCGGGGATTCCTCCCTGGAGAAGGAATTCACCTCGGCGATCGTGGGCCCCACGGTGAGCACCCCCAACAGCCAGCACTCCTCCCCGAGCCGCTCCCTCAGCGGTGAGTATCCCGAGCCGGCTGTTCCCAGCCCCGGCCGTTCCCAATCCCTGCGCTCCGCCAGGAATTTTGACTTCCCGCTGTGACGGATTTCGCTCCCAGCCCGACTCTTTGTTTTCCAAGGGAAGGGGATAAGCCCGGCTTTGGGCTCCGCGTGGAGCAGCTGCCTGGTCCCTGATCCCGGTGTCAGATCCCGGGCACTGATCCCAGGAACTGGCTGCTGCTGAGCCGGGGTTTTTTTGTGGAAAAACCGATGTTGAGGGGTGGAAAAACCTCAGCCGGGGGTGGAGGATTCAGAGTCTTTTCCTCGTGGTCCTGAATTCCAGCTCCACGAGGAGTGTGTTCCATGCTGTCAGGGCTGGGCTCTGAGGGGCTGTGGAGCTGTGGGTTTCTTTGGAATGAGTTGTGTTTTGTATCCATCGGGATGGCAGTGTGGGAAACGAGGAACTGCGCCGCTTCCTCCTGTGTGGGAGCCGGGGCGGGTCAGAGCAGCTCACAGAGCAGGGCTTGGCCTCAGTGGGAATGAGGCTGTTGGGAAGTTATTTGTGTCACTGCAGTGGATTCAGAGAGGCCCTGGGATCCTTTGGATATGCTGGGAATGCCACGGGGTGCTGGAACCAGCTCCCGGACGGGCTGTTGTGTCCCTGTCCGAGGGCCGTGAGCTGAGCTGGGGACCCGACAGGGATCCAGAAATGGGATTAATGTGGGGAGTCTCCTCACATACTGTGAAACTCTCCATCTCCTTTCCTGCCCACTCTGGAATTCTCTGCTTTTTAGTTAAAATGAGCAAAGCTGGGGTTCAGGTTCTGTGCAGGAGCCCCCCCAGTCGGGCAGGTCCCGTCCCCGGGCTGTGGCTCCGTCCCCCACGCTCCCGCTGCTCTCCCGGTATTCACAATCCAACAGTTGCTCCATCTCTGGATGAACCCAACCAGCCCCAAAACACCTGGCACCGCTCTGATCCTTCCTCTCTCCCACTTCCAGCTGTCATTGCACATCACTTTTCCCTGGCAGAGGAACTCCCCGTCCTTTATCCAGGGAGGTCGTGGCATTTGCTGCTTGTCCTTCCTGAACCGGGATAAAATAAACCCCAAACACCCCAATTTCGGGAGGATAATGCTCAGAATTAGCTCCATTGCCATTTCTCACTCTCATTACTCGTTATTTATCTCACATTTGTGCTCTAAAGCACATGGGAGCTCCTCACAGAGACGAGATCTTGGCGTTCCGAGGGGTGACGCCGGGAAGCCAAGGGAATATCGAACACGCGGAAAATCCCGATCCCTTCCCCTTTAACAGCAGGACACGGGTGATGGCATTGCCTCTGATCTGACTTGACTTCACAGCTGGTTCATCCGGCGAGCGCCGTGCCCAGAGGAGCAGGAATATTATATAACCTGTTCTGCCGGCAGAGACTTCTCCCGGACCCCGCGTCGGATCTGAAAGGAGAATTACAGAACAATACTTGGCCTCTCTTCTGTGCCCAGGAAAAAATTAGTCCCTGGGGGAATGGGAGAGGAGAAAAAAAAAAAACCCAACAAAACCCAACCACAAACGTCAACTCGTCCCAGCGGCTCCGGCGCGGGGCGAGGAGCTTTTCACTCGTGTTTGCGCACGGAGGCAGCTCCTGGTGCTCCCAGGGGAGCGTGGTGGCACCGGATAAAGTCCTGCTCCCCCCCCCCCCGGGAATGCTCCAGGCACAGCCTCCTCCCAGCCTCCTCCCATCCAGGGGCTCAGCACGCGGCCTGGGAGCGCCCGGGACCTCCAGGGCCGGGGTTGCCCGGAGCCCCTCGGGGAAGCAGCATTGTCTGTGCCGGGAGGATCCAGGCAGGGAAGGAGCCAGAGCCAGAATTCCTGGGCTCTTCACCCGGCAATAAACCTCCCGCAGCCTCGGATGAATCACTTCCATGCTGCTGCTCCTGGGTAATCCCCGCTCGCAGGGCTGTACCTGGCTCCGGGGAAGAGCCCGAGTGCCGAGGAGCTGCCCGGGCTCCTCGGGGGCTGCGCCGTTCCCGGGGGTCTCCCGGCTCCGGGACCCTCCTGCTCCACCAGCTCCGCTCTCCACACCCGCCGTGCCCGGTAAGCGACCCGGCCAAGGGTCTTCCCAGAGTTTATCCAGGCCCCCCTCAGCTTTTAAAGGAACCCCCGGGTGGTTCCCTACCTGGGATGTTCCCGAGGTTTTCTGGAGTCCCCTCAGCCGGTCCCGTGGGCATCCCCGGGCTGTGGGTGAGAATCCACACTCTGACAAGGAGCTGAACCCCTCCGGGGGGACACGTCGGCTCCAGGTTTGGGAACCACTGGGAATTCTGTGGCTGTGCTCCGTTCTCCACGAGGCAGCTCAGGCTCCTCCAGCTCCTGCCCTCCGGGAAGCCGCCTCTCCTTGGGCGGGCAACGCTCTGTCCCTCCAGCCCCACGGTTCCCCTCTCAGGGGATTGGGAGCTCGCTGCTTTAGGAGGAAGAAATGAGAATCTGATCCTTAGAGGAATTCTGGAAATATTTAGCTGGAGCCTTGGGCTCAGTGCCTGTGGGTGACCTGGATTCCACTTTGCTCCATCATCATCCTCCTCCTCCAGCCTGCCAGGACCAGTGCTACAGGAGCAGGTCGCAGGGGCCGTCGGCCAAGGAGCCTCCCCAGGGAATTCCCTCTTGCTCCCAGCTGCTTAAAACGGGAGGAAACTTCCCAATCTGATCATTTCAAGCCTGGATCTGCAGCCCGGTGTCTTTTCCCGAGGGTGTCCCAGCGGTTCTCCCTCAGGCAGGGGGTGCAGCTGCGTGGAGAGGTGGGACAAGCACTGGGATACCTGGCTGAGGGAGGAGGTGTGTGGGATCAGGGTGGACAAGTTCACTGGGAAGGAGGAGAGGGAGAGTTTCTCCCTGTCCTTCCCATCCCGGCTCCCTGGCAGCGAGGAGGGAGAGGAGGGAGTGGGCTCGGGAGTGTTTGATTTGTGGCATTCCACAGATCATTAGAGCAGTCGGGAATGTAGGTCAGGACTGGTGCATCCCCTCCATCCTGGTGCTGCAGGAGGAGGGAAAGGTGGTGGTGGGGAGGGAAATCCTGGGGCTCTGCTGCAGTGGGGAGACCCCCCATGCTGCCCCTCCAGTGTCTGGAGGGTGGGTTCATCCAGCACAGCTCCAGCAGCCCCTGCTCCCATCTGGGATACAAACACTCCTGGCAGCCACCAGCCCTCAGCTGTGGGACCTTTCCCTGGTCCCTGGCGTCTCTCACATCCCCTTCCACACCTTTCCAGGGGTTTTCCATGTCTGTCCCTCCACTTGTGGCCCCGTTCTCTTTGTGGGACGAGGGAAAGGGAAGAGGCCAAGCTGCCCATGGGGGCAGGTTGGGTGTTCCCAGGCAACACCTGCTGCTCAGCTCCTTTTTCCCGACATTGGATGCCAGAGGTGGGAGCTGTCAGGGAAGCCGTGGCTGTCCTGGGGAGCCCAGGTGTCCTCACTGCCTGAGGAACTCGTGCCCAGCTCTTTGTGCCGGCGAGTTTCAGCCTTTACTGACTCCGGGACTCGAGATTTGGTGTCTTTGCTTGCCCTGGAATCCAGGGAGTTGTTAAATGTCCTTTCCCTCGGGATGAGGAGTGGAGATCTCCAGGTGTGCAGACCTCGGATCCCCTCGCGTGATCCGTGTGGGATCTGTTCCCGAGGAGATGCAGGTTGATCACAAACAAGTCACCGAGCATGTCGGTGTTTCTTTCAGGAGCAGCTCCTACCCGAACTGTGGGAATTCTTCCAACGCTGGGAGTTTTTTCCTGCCCTGACCCTTGGTGTCCCCCCTCCCTCCCCACAGCCAACTCCATCAAGGTGGAGATGTACAGCGATGAGGAGTCCAGCCGGCTGCTGGCGCAGGACGAGCGGATGCTGGAGAAGGAGGACAGTGTCATCGTGGAGGACTCGCTCTCGGAGCCCCTGGGCTACTGCGACGGGACGGGCCCGGAGCCGCACTCGCCCGGGGGGATCCGCCTTCCCAACGGGAAGCTGAAGTGTGACATCTGTGGCATGGTTTGCATCGGCCCCAACGTGCTCATGGTGCACAAGCGCAGCCACACCGGTGAGCTCTGGGCCGGGGGGGCTCCAGTGGCCTTGGGGGGGGGGGCTGGTGGCCACAGGTGCCGTGGGAGGGGGCTGGCAGGTCCAGGTGCTGACCCCGGGGATTGAATCGTGGGATCCCACGAGGATTTGAGTTGGGATGGACCTTAAAGATCATCTTGTTCCACCCCCTGCCACGGGCAGGGACACCTTCCACTAGCCCAGGTTGCTCCAAGCCCCGTCCAGCCTGACCTTGGACACTTCCAGGGATGGGGCATCCTCTGGGAAATCCATTCCAGTGCCTCACCACCCGAACAGGGAGGAATTTCTCCCCGATATCCCACCTTACCTTACTCTCTTTCGCTGGGGGTGGTGGCCAGAAGGTGCTGGTGAGGAAAAGCCCAGGGAAGTGCCTGTGGCTGGTCTTTCCTCGTCACTGTCCCCACTCCAACAGCAGATCCGTCCCTCCCTGGGTTGGGGCCACATCTGGATCACGTTGGTGGCTGACCCAGGGCTCTCCAAGGCCTGGAAACCTGGGGATGCTCCCGCTCTGCGGGGCCGTTGGCTCTGGAAATGCTTCTCAGCAGGAGTTTCACCCCCTGCTCCGGTTTTTCAGGAGAAAGGCCCTTCCACTGCAACCAGTGCGGAGCCTCCTTCACCCAGAAGGGAAACCTCCTGCGCCACATCAAGCTGCACTCGGGCGAGAAGCCCTTCAAATGTCCCTTCTGCAACTACGCCTGTCGCCGGCGGGACGCCCTCACCGGCCACCTCCGCACGCATTCCGGTGGGTCTGAGGGCTGGGGCAGGGCTGGAGCCAGGGGGGAACACGGGAGGATGGGGCAGAGCCAGGGGGGAGCACAGGAGGGTGGGGCAGAACCAGGGATTTGGGCTGGAGAATCACTGAGGTTGGAAAGGACCTCCGAGACCATCGAGTCCAAGCTGTGCCTGACCCAGCCCGGAGCACTGAGTGCCACATCCAGGCCTTCCTTGGACACCTCCGGGGATGGGGACTCCAAACCTCCCTGGGCAGCCCCTTCCAAGGCCTGAGCACCCTTTCCATGGGGAAATTCCTCCTGATGTCCAACCTGAGCCTTCCCTGGAAGGTTCACAATCACCGGCCTTGAGCTCCCGACCAAACTTGCTCTCGGACCAGTGTGGAGCTGAGGGCAGAGGACGTGTCAGAGTCAGGGACGTGCTGACCAGAGAGGTGCCCACAGGGCTGGTCCAGTTTCTTCCAACCGATAGAGATAAATGTTTAAATGATTTTATTGAGTTCAGACAGGTCCCACCCGTGGGTGTGGTGGAAACCAGCACCGGGGGGGTTGGTTCGTGTCGTGTTTTGACATTGTCCTTTTTGAAGATGACATTTGAGCTGCGGTTTCCACCCTCCAGTTCCGTGATGAAAGGGGGGGGAGGGCAGGATGCCAGGGGCAGGGCCGTGGGGGGGAGGGCAGGATGCCAGGTCCCCGTTTGGCACCGTTTTCCCTGGATTTGGGCACCACCGGGGGCTTTACGACGCTCTCAGGTGTTCGAACACCTGCGGCCCCAGGACCTTCAGAGGCTGCGTGGAAATGAGTGTCAGGGCCTTTCTCGGAGGAAGGAACCTTTCCCTGAAGAACCTGTTGGCATCAGGAGCCCCCAGACCTGCTCCATCCATGGCAGTTCATCCCTGGATGTTCCCGCTGCCAAGGGACAAAGCTGCTGCTTGGTGCAAACACTTGTGGTCCTTTGGAGTCCTTCGATCAGGAGACGTGGAAATGGGACAAACCCTCACATCATATCAAACAAAAATTAGGCTTTATGGGAGCTAATTACTAAGAAAACCCTTGATTTGCTGTGGATTTCAGAGGTGGAAGCAGAGGGGGTTCAGCTCTCCCTCCTCACCCAAGGCCCGAGCGTTCCCTGCGGCCCCATGAGGGACACCCGCCTTTCATCTGCCCCGAAAAGTGAGGGATTAACATCCAGATCAAACGGGCTGTGATGCTCCAGAATAGATCAGAGGCTGCAGCCCCCACCCGGGACAGCCCAGGGAGCTCCCCCAGGACCCCCTCCCTGCCTCCTGTCCCTGCCCACTGAACAAACCAACCTGGGGCTCTCCGGGTGTGCAGGGCCAGAAAAAACCTCGGGAAGGGCCCAGATTCCAGGGCTCAGGGTCAGCTCTGGGCTCTGTGAAGAACTTTTTGGGTGAAGAACCTCAGGGATCCTGAACAGACCCATGGGAAGCGTCTTGGATGACAGATGGACCAACGGCCACATCCCAGAGTCCTCCCTGCGCCTCGGGGGTGGGATCCTGAGGATCCTGTTTGTCATGGAAATTCATCCCAGTGCCCACCACCCTCACAGGGAGGAATTTCTTACCCACATCCCACCTACCCCCTCCCTCTGTCAGTGGGAAGCCATTCCCCCCTTGTCCTGCTGCTCCCTGCTCTTTTATTATCCCTAGGAAATGCCTCAGAGGTATCCATGGGGAGTCTTCTGGTGTGGAAAACCAACCCCAATCCCATCAGGGGGGCGTGGGGAAGCACAGTTGTTTTGGAGTAGCAAATCTGAGCCGTTTGAGGGAATGTTTAAACTTTAAAAGCTCCTCGAGTGATGGGGATTAATGGGAATAATGGAATTTGGAGTCCAGTCACTCGCATCCGAATTGCTGGCTTGGAGGAATTGATTCCTGAGGCACATTTTTGTGCTGGTGCTCAGAGGCCGGGGCCCTCCTCGCCTCCCCTGGGATGGGTTTGGGATGGAGGAAACCCGTGTTGAGCTGCCCTGAGACAATGCTGGTGCCCAGGGCAGGGTTTGCACTTGTCATCGGCTCCTCTGGATTGATTCCCAACCCGGAGCTTGGTGGGGAAATCTGAGGCTGCTCCTGGACTCCCGGATCCCCCAGGCCAGGGCAGTGCGTGGCCATTGGGGTCCCCTGCCCAGCGTGGGGGTTTGGGGACAGGATCTGGCTCCTGGGGAGGTGCTGATCCCACTTTCCACACGGATCCAGGTGTCGGAGGGTGAGTGCAGATTCACCGACAGCCCCAACACGTGTTTTTTAAAAAATCACTTAAAGGTTAAACCACAAGCTGCCAAAAAAAACCCCAAACACCCCGTAAATCTGACAGGAACAGCACATCCCTCCCTCCCCAAGCTCCGGGCCGGGCGTGGCGTGGGCGGTGTGGGGACGGCGACATCCCCAGCGCCAGATTCCTGCAAAACCAGCAGATTTTGGGGCATTTCCCCACTGCTGAGCCAACCTCCCACCCCGGCGGGCACGGCTCTGCCCTGGGGGGTGCAGCTTTTCTGGGGAGGTGAGATCCCGTGGGAGAGATGCTCCGGGGCTGAACCAAATCCAGGAGCATCCAAATCCAGGAGCATCCAGCCCTTACCCTGCTGCTGGGGGGCGGGTGATGGTGAGGAGGAAGGCTGGGGTGGGAGCCAGGAGCTGCCCCCACCTCTGGAAAACGCTGCTGGAGACACGCCAGGAGCTCCTTTACCTGTGGCACAGCGGGGTGGGCGGGGGGCTGAGGGCCAGGGTCTCTGCCCCGCTGCTGACCTG